AAAAACTGGCTAAATAGATTTTTGTTATTGCTTTTTAAAATGAAGATGTCATGCTAACATGTAAATTAAAATTTTAATGTATCAACATGTCCTTAATCACATTATAGAACATCTGGTCAAACATCTGCAAATGCACATTCATCTCGGAGCCATGCAGTGTTTCAGATTATACTTCGAAGAAAAGGAAAACTACATGGCAAGTTTTCTCTCATCGATTTGGCTGGAAATGAAAGAGGAGCTGATACTTCCAGTGCAGACAGGCAAACTAGGCTTGAAGGTGCTGAAATTAATAAAAGCCTTTTAGCACTCAAGGTAAATTAAATATATTTAATTATGAAATGTCTATTATTACTATTACTATTATTATTATTACTATTATTATTATTATTATAGTTGTAGATGGACAGCAAGCAAGCCTTTATTTTGCTTGTTTATTTTCATGTGGTGCTGAGGATAGAACCCCATGCCTCACACATGCTAGGCAAGTGGTCTGCCACTGAGCTACAGCCCCCAGCCCTGCTTTTTAATTTTGTTTACTCAGTTGCCAGATAACAGTACTTACTTTTTCCAATAAAAACACATTTTCAAACTGGTGGGATAAAATGGTATATGGGTTGGCACACCAATTCAATTCTGAGGCTGCCCAGATAGATTCTAAAAAGCCTTCTTCATCAGATATATTTTCTTGGGTAGGGTAAGGAACCATACAATTGAACTAAGAAATAACTTTCTCAGAAAAAAAATGTGGAATCGTTTTCAGAAAGTCTGGCCAGGTATATATTATCTTTTCCTTCACTAGAAAAGCAAAGGTTAGAAAGATTTATAGTAAAATATTCTGTATTTTTTTCTTATGTAATGCCACTTTGAAATTTTAACATTTTACAGTTATCCTGTTGCCTGCCACATTTAAACATTAGCCATTGTTTCCAGAGTATTTTTTGAAAGGATAATAAAGTAGATTTTGTGAGTTAAAAAAAAAAAATTTAGTTATCAATAGACCTTTACTTATTTATATGTGGTGCTGAGAATTGAACCCAGTGCTTCATATATGCTAGGCAAGTGCTCTACGACTGAGCTACACCCCCAGACTTTGTGAGTTTTTTTTTTGTTTGTTTGTTTGCTTGTTTTTGATCTTTTTCTTGAATTAGCGTTCATGGGAACACTTTCACAATGCTGTGAAACTGTTAGAATTTTCAGAGCTCATCAGACCGTAAATGTTAGACTCATCATAAAAGACCTCTTAAAATACGTTACTTAATATCACTCTTTTTAAGAAAGTCTAATCTGTGAGTCTTGCTTTCTTAAATTTCAGGAGTGTATCAGAGCCTTAGGTAGAAACAAACCTCATACTCCTTTCCGAGCAAGTAAACTCACTCAGGTGTTAAGAGATTCATTCATAGGTGAAAATTCTCGTACCTGCATGGTAAGTTTATTTTTGTTATATTTCATTTTAATCCTAAAGTAATAACTATACAGTATCTATGGAAAATTTTAATGTACATTAGTTACAGTCATTTGAATCCTAGATACAGTTGATATTTAAGATGTGTCCCTGCCAGTCTGATAGAAAGCATTATATTATTTCCAACATCTGAATTATCTCATATATATCATGAATGTATAATTTGTTATTAGGTTTTGGTTATCCTGTGTGACAGCACCAGGGTTTATCCTCTGGCAAGATGCTGTTAGAAGAAGTAGGAGGGAGTAGTCACTTGGTATTGTTCCCTGTGTTTGCCTTCATTTTCTATTGGAGTTTGATCATTTCATGGTGTTTCAGAGAGTTGCTTACATTTTAATTGTATCATTATGTGATTATGGGTAAAAGATAGCAAGTAAAATTTTTAAATACCCACTTAAGATTAGACCTAAATGAGCTATTTTTTTAGTATTATTGTCTGGATTATTTATGACATTTTATCTTCGCCTTTCCTTCCCCCACCCCCTGTAGATTGCCACGATATCTCCAGGAATGGCATCCTGTGAAAATACTCTTAATACATTAAGATATGCAAATAGGTATGAGATGGTTCTCTATTACGAAATTTGAAATCTAATTCTAAAATAGGGCAGTATATAATATCTTGTTGTAGGGCAGATTATAGTACATTGTTCTTAAAAATATTTTATAGATTTATTCTTTCATTATATTTTTTCGGTACTGAGGATTTATTTAAGCCAGGGGTACTTCACCACTGAACTACATCCCCATCCCTTTTTGTTTTTTTAAGACAGGGTCTCCCTGAGTTGCATAGGGCCTCACTAAGTTGCCAAAGTTGGCTTTGAATTTGTGATTCTCCTGCCTCAGTCCCCCAAGTTGCTAGAATGACAGATGTATGCTACTTTGCGTGACCACATTTATTATTTAAGGTGATAATATTTAGAATCAGTTTTTCAATTTGTAAAAATGAGTTGACAAAATGTATCATAGGCTGTTAAAGCAGTTTATTCCTTGGAGTCATGAAAAGCCCTTGGACTTGAATGGGCATATTTATTCTATAGCTCCCCCCTGCTACTCTTGTTTTGAATGAGTGATTACATAGTTTTAAATTTGTTAGCATCTATTACATTTATGATTTTAATGTAGAGATAAAATTCCTCTTTATGAACTATTTCTAATATGAAGATTGTCTTAATTTTGCTTAACAAAAATATTTTGTCAAGTGTTGTATAGTTAGAGAAGCAGCTGTTATCTTTAGTAAAAGTGACCTTTCTGTACTACAACATGTTTGTGTTTTTCCATTTCAAAGTTATATTTTGTAATATTTTACTTTACTTAAATTATGCAAATTCTTCCTCTTGAGACAGACAAATAAATGAAAGCTACAGGGCCAGTATATATTTCTTTTAATTGTTTTGCTATAAGCTAAAAATTATTCCTGATGATATTAAATGTTATATATAAGGAATATAAAGTTTGAGTGACAAGTGATAGTCTTTCTGGTGTTGTATATGAATTATATCTTGTTATTCATGTCTGTAATGTGTCCAACTTTAAACAACTGGGTCATTAGCGATGGAAGGACAAAATGCATTATAGGCTGTTAAAGCAGTTTATTTCTTGGAGTCATGACATGCCCTTGGACATGAATGGGTATATTTATTCTATAGCTCCCCTCTGCTACTCTTGTTTTGAATGAGTGATTACATAGTTTTAAATTTGTTATCACCTATTACATTTATGATTTTAATGTAGAGATAAAATTCCTCTTTATGAACTGTTTCTAATGTGAAGATTGTCTTAGTTTTGCTTGACAAAAGTATTTTGTTTCTTTGTTTTAATCATAATGGAAATTTTATTTTCAAATTTTATTTTCAATTTTCAACTTTTTCTTACAATATGAAACACATGTGCATAAAAACTACCTAAGTGAATAAAATGATGAATACCTGTATAGTGAAAAATTTGGCCTTATATTAGGAAATAGAACATCACTGGCCTCTTACAATGTTCTTAATGTATTCATTCTTTCTGATTACAAAAATTACAAAAATTGTCCATCCCATTAGTTTCTCACCTTAGGTAATCATGGTCCTGACTTCTTGGAACAAATTTCTCTCTCTCTCTCTCTCTTTTTTTTTTACCTGCTTTTGGAGATGGGATCTTCCTATGTTACCCTTAACTGGGCTCAAACCCAAGATTCTCCATTGTGCCCAGCATTATTTTTCTTTCTCCCTCTCTCTAGTTTTTATTTTTTTTTTTGGTAATAGAGATTAAACCCAGGGGATGCTCTACCACTGAGCTATGTTCCCACCCCCCTCCCCCCTTTTTTTTGGAGGAGCCTAAGTTGATAAGGCTGGTCTCAAATTGCAGACCTCCTGCTGCAGTCTTCCCAGTCACTGGGATTATAGGAATACATCAATGCCTGGCTTGTTCTCTCTTAAAAATAGTTTTAAGCTGTGTGCAATGGCATTGATTTATAATCCCCAGTGAGGCAGCCGAGGCAAGAGGATTGCAATTATAAGGTCAACCTCAGCAATTTAGTGAGACCCTGCATCAAAAATAACAAATAAAAAGGGCTGGGTTTAATTCCCAGTACTGATAAATAAATTAAAAACAAATATATACATACACCCAAAGTTTTACGGCCTATGAATATATCTTTAAGCAGCATAGGATCTATGTTTGGATCATGTACTTTGTTCTTTTACGTTTTGTTTCAGCTGAAGAAATTTCAAATGGTAGTAAACATTGGAAAGTATAAACCTATTAATCTTTTGTAAAAAGGTATTAAAATCTAATAGCTATGTTAAAAATGTAATAGAACTTTATTTCAAAATTTAATTCCTTTTATAGTTTGAATTTACTCCTAGCTGAAAACTTATTGTGCAACTAAGTGATTTTTTTTGTAATTAATTTTTTAGCATGTAGGATTTTTATCATTAATTTAAAATGCTGCTTATTGAAAATTGTTCACGGACAGGTGGGGAACAGCTTAGTGTGGTAGCTTCTTGCCATGATAATAGAATTAAAACAAAAAATCTTCATGTCTTAAAACTTTAGACTGAAAAGGATTCCCCCTAATATGAAAATGATATACATGTTCAATAACGTTTACCTGAAATGTTTTGAGATCAGTAGTGTATTAGATTTTGGATTTCTTCAAATTTTGGAATATTTACACACACATAAGGAGATATCTTAGGGTGGGATCCAAACATTAGCAAAAACAACTTAAATTCCATTAGTATAGGCAGTTCTCAGTCAGAGTTCTTCATCTGAATCACCAACCACAAAAAAGTTGAGTGACTGTTTTATCAATCATATGAATAATGTTTCATAGCTAATACCATTCTAGATGTATAAGCAGAAGTTAATTTGTGAAAATGAGTGACTTAAAGAATTAGGGCTTAATTTTAACTCTTGTGTCCTGTTTGAGAAAGTCCACAAATGCACTAGGAAGTCATTAATACTAATAAATATTTATGCAATTGACAACATAAGAAAGAGTGGTCTTGTAGTTTAAATAAATGGTATTTCAGGATTTAGATAGTGTCCTGGAGGTAGGAATGTAGCTCAGAGATAGAGTATTTGCCTAGCATGCAAAAGGCCCTGGGTTCAATCCCCAGTACCTCCCTCACTCCCATCCCACCCCCCCCACACACACACATTTGGTACTTTGTGGTTAAATTTCAAGTATTATTAAAAAAGTAAAAGAAGGATTTTAGTTAGGTCTTTTGAGTAAGGGATCAGTGGGATTAAGAGGTTAAAACCTCTTAAAACTGATTATTTATAAAATAAAAGTCTAAATACATTGTTAAGCAGTGTTGATAACCTTTTCTAAACAAAACTGAATTCAAATGAAAACTTGAAATGTGCATTGCTGTTTTTACAAAAACATTTTCTTTTAATTTGTTGCTGTTTTGGTGCTGCAGAGTAAAGGAGTTTGGAATTAGTCCATCAGACATTCCCTTCTCACAGGGTAGTGGCAGTCGCCCTGATCTCTCTCCTTCTTATGAGTATGACGACTTTTCTCCTTCGATTACCAGGTCTACTTCATTCTATACATAAGATGTTTATTTTAATAGTTTTTAAATTTTTTTTCTATATATAAACATTTCATTTACTTCTTTTATCCTGAGCCATATTATTTTTCATTTTCATTTCATTTGGCAGGTGCTGGTTGTACTGCATGATCTGCATTTTTATGTCCTGTATTAATTTATTTGCTTTGAAATTTTGGTTTAGAATTCAGGCTTCCTATTTCCCCTCATTTTTAAAAGGATGATGTCACTTTTGCATACTTACATTAAAAGATAAATTTGTCTTGCTTGCAGTGAAGAGTTTACCTGTATTGTGTATGATCTTATAAATTTCCTTGTCTGCAAGGAAATGACAAGGTTCCTATTAGAAAGTATATCCTTTCTCAGATGTGAGGAGCAAACATTTTTTAAAATGATACAAATCTTATAATCTTTATACCTTGGAAATAAAATTATTTCATATTTAGCTATTTTAATTCAAGCATTTCAACTATCAGAAATCTGCAAAGTGTATCAAATTCTCTGATATCAGCAATGACCTATTTATAAAACTTAATGCTTTTGTAAAGATTTTTCTGCTCATATAATGTAATTGCAACAGTGTGTTTCTTTGAAATACTGAGTCTGCATACTTTGAATTTCCACTTTTGTGCACATTTATTCTTGAAGTAATTGTAAAGTTGCTTATGTGAACTACTAGAATTAAACAACCAAACATCCTATTAAGAGTTTCCAGAGAGTTCAGATAAATTTGAGCTATAAAGGTGACATCATCAATCCTAATGTGTTATTTGAATTGCCTTTAATTGAATAGGTTGGTATTTTCTTGCTCCTATGCTTGAGTCTTTGTTAATTTTAGATACCTCTTCTCTATCTATAGGGTGAAAGAACTGACTGTTGATCCAACTGCGGCTGGTGATGTCCGTCCTATAATGCACCATCCACCAAACCAAATTGATGACTTAGAGACACAGTGGGGTGTGGGAAGTTCCCCTCAGAGAGATGATCTAAAACTTCTTTGTGAACAAAATGTGAGTGAGATAATATAGTTGTAATTGATGCAGTTTTAGTTCATTTCATTAATAGCTCAATTTTATCTACGTCAGGGGTCAGCAAACTATACTCTGTTTTTACAAGTAATGTTTTATTAGAACATAGCAATGCTTACTCATTTATGGATTGCCTGGCTGCTTTCTTACATAACAGTACCAAAGACTGTATGGCTCACAAATCTAAAACATCTACTATCTGGTTTGCCAAACCTCTGATCTAATCTATTACCTCCCACCCCCATATTTTATACCAGTATTAAAATTTTAGTAATATAGGGTAGAAGCAAGTTTAAGAATTATACATCCAGTAAGTACCTCATTATAAAGCTTAAAAACAAAATAAAGGAACTGTGGACAAAGGCATGACCTTCATTAAAAATCAAACATGGCAAAATGCTATCATCCATTAAACCAGGCTGCTTTTCTATATGTTTGAAATGTTTAATGATATTTCATAATTTAAAATTCTGTTTTTCCAGCTGGGCACAGTGACACATCTTACACTCCAGCAACTTGAGAGACAGAGGTAGGAGGATCGAAAGTAAAGGCCAGCCTGGGCAACTTAAAAAACCTCTGTCTTGAAATCAAATCCAGAAAGGGTTGGGGATGTAGCTCAGTGGTATTGTGTTGCCCAGCATGCACAAGACCTTGGGTACCATACCCCTGTACTCTTTTTTTAATGTTCTAATTATTAAAAATAATAAAATGTATGCCCACTCTATAAGGATAGAAGGGCATAAATAAGCAAGAAAGCACAAATAATAACTTGCTTCCACATAATTGTTTTTAACATTGAGAGGATTACATTCTGTGTGTGAAATACAAGAGTTATTTATGTAGTTATTTAATTTCATTTTAACATGTATATTTTAAATGGTTTTATGTCACTGTTTTTCCCACTAAAATCCTATCGTGGCATTTTCTCATAATGTCAAAAGGTGGCATTTACTAATTGCTTACTACATGACATACATTTGCTAAATATTTTGCTTGTTACCTGATTTAATCCTCACAAATCAATGTGGTAGGTGTTGTAATTATCCCTACTTCATAGTTAATTTTCTAAGAGGCGTAACAACTTGACCAAGATTATAAGTGAGGAGGCCAGAGTTGAAACCTACATCTTTCTTTTGACACAATCCAATTTATGTCAGATAAGCATATTTCCATCAACAGTATTCTTTGAAAAGAACAGAATTAGTGGTTATGTTGTAATACTTTCTGACAGATGTTAAATCCAAAATATTCTAGAGTAACAAATGGACATAACTGCTTTTGATTACCACATTCCATACTACTTTTTTGTTTTCACATTCCACATCCTCTGTTACTAAATCAAGGCTGTAAGCAGCTGTCCTCAACCAGAGGTGATTTGGCCCAACCAAGACAAAAATATATGAAGATGTTTTTGGTTGTCACAGCTGAGGTGATATTGTTAGCATCTAGTAGGTAGAAGCTATGATGCTTTTAAACACGTAGTGCATGGGATAGCCACACTCTTCACTCTACCCCTCAAAAATGTCAGTAGTTCAAAGGTTGAGAAAACTAGTTTTAAATTAAGAGTTCTAAATTTTGAAACATAAAAACAGCTAAAAATTAGATCCTGGCGTCATTCCCTGCCCTGTCTACATAAGTTTTAAAAGACACTATACATGTTCTTGGAGCCCTCAAATCAGTTCCTTTATTGTAATAGCTATGGTACCTCCCAAAGATTCTGAAAACCAGAGTTAAGAGGCATTCTTCTCTTCTGTTTGCATTTTATTCTCATATCTAATGAGACTAAGACTTAACAGTTAACAAGGTAGATTAGTGGAATAGCATCTAAGATAAGCCCTAGAGATAAAAATAATATAGGTACACTTATAATTAAGTTCATTAGTATTCCAAGAGTAGAAGAAAATTGTATAGACAAAAAAGTGTTTGGATCAGGGCTGGGGATATAGCTCAGTTGGTAGAGTGCTTGCCTCTCATGCATAAGGCCCTGGATTCAATCACCAAGAAAAATAAGTAAAGGTTTCTTGGGAAAGAAACTTCAGAAAGAAACCTTAGCAATATAAGTTTCGAATTGATCTAAAACCAACATAATGCATATGTTGTATGTCTGTGTGTATGTATAGTTATTGTTGATGAAGTAAAACTATCCTGTCAATTCAAATTTCTATAATAACTGCCAGGAATGGTGGTACATGTCTATAGGTGCAGGTACTTAGGAGGGTGAGGCAGGAGGATCACTTGAGTCCAGGAATTTGTGGATAATCTTGAATAACATAGTGAGATCCCATCCAAAAAAAATGAAAGAAGGAGGAAGAATAACTGGTAAGCAAATCATGTAGTATAATTTGAAAATTATTTTTTTTAAGAGTTAAGTCCTTCAGAGTATTAATTTGATCAAAGACATTATCTTTACGTAATCCAAAGATGGTGTTTTTAGTCCCCCTCCCACTTTGCTACAGGGGATTAAAAGCAGGGCCTGTCCATACTAGATAATCTCACTACTACTGAGATTTATCTCCAGCCCTTTTCTTTTTTCTTTTGAAACAGGTTCTCCCTAAAATGCCCAGGCTGACCTCAATCTAACCATCCTTTTGCCTCAGCATTCTGAGTAGCTGGGATTACAGGCATGTGCCACCATGCCTGGTTCATCTCTTTTAAGAAAACAAACTTAAGACATGTACAGGTAGTCCTTGACTCAACAATGGGGTTACATCCTGATATCACAAGTTGAAAATGCATTTACCACACCTAACATGGTGAACATATTAATAGAAAAGATCAAAATTCAGATTTTGAAATGATTTCTGGATACTTATTGGTTTTATGTCATTGAAAAGTCTTAAAAAGCATAATCGGAACCATCCTTAAGTCAAGAATTGTCTGTATATGAGTTAATTCATATACAGAAAAGAAAACAGTAGTAAAGAAATATTTGAATATATTTACAATTTGCAAAAGATTTATATTTGAAAAGCTGACTGTTCCTGAAGAGTGCTTTTTTGGGGGTAATTTTGCAGTAAACCTTGGCATCAAGGAAAATTATTACCTACTCATAAAAAAGTTTGGATTGCTTTACTGAGAGTTATGTATATTATTTTGACCCACAGAAAGAAATTGTGACTTTCACTTTTATGTATATTTGAGTAGTCATCACCATTCAAGCTTCCTCAAATTCTAAATGTTATTGTAAAGTGTCATTAAAAAGCTACTTTTAGGGGTTGGGCAGTAGGGTGTGTGCTTAGCATGTAAGGTCCTAGGTTCAGAACTTGGCATCAAAAAAAAAAAGAAGAAAAACACAAAAATCGACTACTTTTCTAGCATTTAAAAATACAACATTTATGTCATAATTTTTAAACTTTGTATTTTAAGGAAGAAGAGGTTTCTCCACAATTGTTTACTTTCCATGAAGCTGTCTCACAAATGGTAGAAATGGAAGAACAAGTTGTAGAAGATCACAGGGCAGTGTTCCAGGTAAAGAGAGAATCTTTCTTTCATCAAAGTATTTTGAGATATATTAACCAAAAACTTTCATCATTCTTGGAATAACA